AGCTATATCGAATCAATTCCCCACAGAGGTTCTCAATCGAGATACCCAAGACGTTGCAAAAATGTGAAGCATCAGAAACATCAGCACGACGTCCTCTCAGGACCCTACGGCCGGTCTCTGGTACGGATAGTGGGCTCGCCGGGTCCAATAGTTTAACAACGTCAGCCGGGATGTGGGCCCCGCGACGTCGTAGGAAATCTAAGTTCAGAAGCCGCATTCGGATCGAGTGTTGTCGGCCGTAGCTGTGGAGTATCTGCCGCGCAGCATCATTTTTATTCCAGCGTCGCCATCCGTCTTTAATCTGTTCCTTATGGGCCAGCTCCCCAAACTCGGTATACTACATTGGAATGTTGCCAAACCGGGTTACGTGATCGCAAAAGTGAGCAAGTAGATGCATCTCGATAAAATGGAAGTGACTTTCTGTATGGATCAACTCCAAACGCTGGTCGTCTTCAATCTCACGTTGCTGCACTCGCGTCTGGAGCCGGTTGGATTTCGCGCGGGCTGGTGATTGAGCTACGGCTGCTCTGCGTTGTTCTCTCCGTTGCTACTGAACTTTTGCTCGTGTGCGTTTTGATAGCCGAAACTCGAGGAAAACATCCTTCGTCGCATGGAACCGGTTGAGATAATTTTGCATATAATCTAAAGTCTCCTGTGTATGGCTTCGGTATTGTGCCATTAAAGTGAAATCCAGTAAATATCTAACGCACGCCAGGGCGCGTTTGAAGGGCCCTACTTGTCTACTGTCGGGTTGTCTCAGCGCCATGGCAAGCACTCCCAGAAGACAGCGACCCAGGTTCCGCATCTCCTTTCCTTGCCATTGCGTAACCTCGCGGTACGCTTTTTTCGGAACAAAGAATCCCGGATACGGTGGTAAAGCCTTCCAGGCCTCGTCGAAAGCTTGACTTCGTGCGTGTTTCTTGAGAAATGATTGAACCCAGTCCATCATGTGCTTAAATAGTCCGAGGTAAACTGTATGGAGCAAATCTGGTTTGCATAGGTCGGGCGCCAAAAGACGTGGAAGCCCATGAAAGAGGTTTCGTCCAATCTTGACGCCAAGACCCTCAAAGGTGCTATTGATTTCGTCGGCCACGGAGTCTGTTTCATGATCCAGGCTTCCTTGTTGTAGTGGTTCGTATGTCGCGTAATCCCTCGTTGGATACCCGTTTTGTATCAAGGATCCTACCCTATCCGGAGGCACCTCGCACTTCGGACAGGCATTGGATTTTACTCCATGTAGGGCCACATTTTCCATATGATCCGCCGTCCAAGCCGCCAATATAGGGAAGCACCTCCGGACTCTCCCATCTGCGCAGTCGACTGGGACGCCCGCTTGTGCTGCATCTTGCA